ATCCGTTGCATCCCATAGAAAGTTCCTTTGAAGCCGCTCCAGTTTTTCTGTGATGCTCACAGGAGCTTGCAACAGGGACAAGTGATAGGTGGACATACTCGATAAAGTGCTTTTAATGAGCACTTCATTTCCGCCTTTTGACAAGTACCGTTTTTACCAGCTTGTTAATCTTTTTTCAACCCTTTCGATCACTGGATTCCAAATCGTACTATCCTTATGCGAAGCACCCAATGGGAGACCCAGGTAAGTAGTGGGAAGGGATCCCACCTTACATCTGAGAACATAAGACAAAGCATCAATGTTAGCAACCTCACCCACCAGGAAAATCTCACACATGCCGAGGTTGATTTTGAGATCTGATACTATCTGAAACCACTATAGGACCTGCTTCAGGTAGGTCAACTGATCCATATCGGCATCACAGAAAACCAGGGTGTCATCCGCAGAAAGCAAATGAGAGACTCTTCGGGCACAGGGCACCCCGATCGAAGCTGAGAATCCTCTCAAGAAACTTCCGCCCGTCGCGCGATCCATCATTTTACTCAAAGCATCCATCACTAGAATGAATAGCATGGGGATAGGGGGTCTACTTGCCTGAGACCCTTGGAGCTGCCAAAGAAACCACACGGACTACCATTAACCAGGACAGAGAATCTGACTGAGGAAATGCAGAACTTGATCCATCCCCTCCATCTTGCTCCAAATCTTATCCGCATCATAATGAAATCCAGGAACTCCCAATTGACATGGTCGAAAGCCTTCTCAAGGTCCAACTTGCATAGCAAGCCGGGATCTCTATTTTTCCTTCTGGAGTCTACAAGTTCATTTGCCACCAAAGCGGCATCCAGGATCTGCCTACCTTCCACAAACGCATTCTGGGAGGACGAAACAGACACGTCAAGAACCTGCTTGAGTCCATTGGAAAGCACTTTAGAAATGATCTTGTAAATGCTCCCTACGAGACTAATAGGCCTGTAGTCGCTGATACAAAATGCACCTTCTTTCTTAGGCACAATAGTAATAAAAGAAGCCTTGATACTTCTCTCGAAAACACCATTCACATGGAAGTATTCAATGGCTTCCATCAACTCCCCCTTAATGGTGTCCCAACAGAGCTGGAAGAAAGCCAAGGAGAAACCATCAGGGTCGGGGGCCTTATCACCAGCACAACTCGACACAGCCTCGTGCACCTCCTCCTCCTCGAAAGCCCTTTCTAGCCACTCACTGTCTCCCTCCCCTATGTGGTTGAACTCTATTCCCCCCAAAGTTGGCCTCCAACTAACTTCCTCTTTGTAGTTTGTATAAGTTCTCGTAAAACCTCACTATCGCCCCTTGTACCTCCTCCTCTCCCTCAATCCTCACCCCATCCACAACTAAGGACTCTATGAAGTTTCTCCTTCGATTTGCAACTGCCACCCTGTGGAAAAATTAGGTATTCGAATCCCCTTCCTTTAACTATAGCGCCCTCGATTTTTGCCGCCAACTAGTCTCCTGAGCTATTGCTAACTCGATTATTTCCCTCTTAACCTCCCCCAATCTCTCTTTCTCAGATTCATCTAATTCCCTCGCACCTTCCCATCTCTCTAGATCCCCCAATTCATGCATAAGCTCCCTCATTTTAACCTCTACCCTCCCCCAAAACCTCATTATTCCACCTAATAATATCTTCCTTAAGCAATTTAAGTTTCTTCGAACGACGGAATGAAGGTGTCCCTGATACCCCGTAGCTTGTCCACCATTCTTTCACCTTGTCACCAAATCCTGGCACCTTCAACCACATGTTCTCGAATCGGAAGGGAGCACGCACCCCCTCCCTCTACATCCATCTAGCAAGATCGGCAAATGATCCGAAGTCAGCCTAGGTAAAGGAATTTGCAGCACATTCAGCACCAGCTCATCCGAGGAGGGCGATATCAAAAATCTATCAAGTCAAGACCTTGAGTTGAAATCCTCCGCCCTGGCCCAAGTAAACCTTTCCCCTGACAGAGGAAGATCAATGAGAAAGTGATCATTGATGAAGTCAGAAAACTCCTCCATGACCCTCAAAATCATACTACACCCTAATCTCTCCTCCGGGAATCTAATAGTGTTAAAGTGTCCCCCCAGAACCCATGGAATGTCTCATTCCCCCATCATATTGACCAGTTCCTCCCAGAAAAGTATTGTGGACCCTTCTCCTACCGGTCCGTACACTCCCCCAAATCCCCACTCCACCCCACTCACTCTATCTTTGACAAGAGCTGCTAAAGAAAAAACTCCCTTCTTAATCTGCTTTACCTCCAAGCTTCTATCATCCCACATTAGAAGAATGCCCCCGGCACTTCCCACTACTGGAAATCAGTCATATTTTACCCAAATACCTCCCCAGACACTCCTCACAATCAGATCCGACAAAACTTCCATTTTTGTCTCCTGAAAGCAAACTAGGTTAGCACCCCATTCTCTAACTCCCACTTTGATGATGGCCCTTTTGTTTGGGTCATTCATCCCCCTCACATTCCATGAAAGAATCTTAACTTCCATAAGAAACAATATCTCCCTTCTCCCCACCCCCTCTAACCGAGCTCTCTTCTTCCCTGTCACACACCCGGCCCCTTCTCTGGTACACCACTACATCCCCTAAATTATTTTGGTTAGCACCTTGACCCAACTCCCTCTCTGCACCATTATAACAAGATTGTTGCTCAATCTCCCTCAATAGTTCTAACACCCTATCTTCCTTCTCTTCAAAAGAAACACCTAGAAACTTCCCAAAGTTTAATAGTTTATCCTCCATCCAGAAAGACATATCCCCTCCTCCAATCCGTGACGAGATTGGACAGGCGTCTTCTAAATGTACCCTTTCCTTGCCCCTACCGGAGGAATACAAGACCATAGCATTGCTAGCAATAGGAACTTTAGGTGCCGAAAGGATCTCTCCATTTCCATGAGGGGTATCAATCTCTGAAATTAGCACCTCGCTGCTACAAGAATGACCAGGAACACCAGTAGGGTAGCAGGAAGAAGGAGAGCATGGTGCCCTTGGCGGCACAGGTCCGACACTTACATCAGATGGGGCATGCTCTACGATCTTCCCAGAAGAAGAAGAAGCTTGAAGTGTAGCCTCAACACAACTAAGCCCAGGAGCAGATGAGGGGGCGATGGAGCTGGGTCCATCAGAGGTGGGAGACCGTGGAATAACAGCACCATCTATAGCCGGTGTCGCCCCTGAAGCAGCGGCCATCGAAGAAGGGCGAAGGTCACGAGAGCTCGGTGCAAAAATGCCACTGTGTGTAGCACCATTGGCAGAAAAAGTAAGAACGATTGTTCCCATATGCTTAGGAGCCTTAACAGACGCAGCTTGAAATAATTTGGGCCCCTTAGGATCAATTCTAATAGAATTGGTAAAAGTTGTTGGGCCCATGTGAGGAGGCACAGGCCTATACTTGCTGAAAACTTGCCTGGCCCTAGGATAATTAGAAGATGACCGGCCCATTCTACCTTTCTAGCCCGCATCACTAACTCATTCACGCCTTTCCCTCCTGTTGAAATTTTGTCTTCTTCTCCCAAATTCAAACCTCCCGTCTCTTCTCGATCTAACATCTGATTCCGACTTAGACCACTGATCCGGTGAACCCTCCCATCCCCTCAGAGACTGATTTCCCCTCCCCTCCCTTCTATTTGACCTTCCCTTTTCTTCCGCCACTATCACAGGCATAAAGATAGGGCGAAATTCAGGGCTCAGCCACACCCTATAACTCAAGTAGCCATCTTCCACCACAGTGGAGATAGGGATTCTGACCCCTTTCCTCACCACAATCCTCACTCGTGATAGATCATGTAGGCTGCAAGTGACATCAATAAAGCCCCCACAGATTTCCCCAATCTTCTTGAAAAGGTCAAGACACCAAAAATGCACCGGGAGACCCACCATGTTGACCACCAATGTTTCGCCGGTGAAACAATGGTCGAGACACCCATCGTGTTCCACCCATCTGTCTAGATGTTAAAAGTTCTCATCAAACCATTTGTTTCCTCTAACAAGAATTTCTGAAGCTTGAGACTCATCGAGAAATCGAAAGAGATATTGTGTATCCCCCAGTTGTGTTATTTTCAGCCCGTCACTGACGTTCCATGCACCTACTGCCCAATTCCTAACAGCCTCCGGAGAACCAACCCATTTGGAGAAAGATCCAATCAGACAAGATTTCAAGAAACCCTTGCGCCTAAGAGTGTGCTCCTCAGACAGCGAGAAGTGCGGCTCCTGCCCTACGTCGAGCTTTCGATGACATCTTCCCTCAATATCTAGGGTTGGCCAAGAGGCAGCTTTGATAAAAGACATTTTTTCCAGTTTTCTAGATTCTAGGGAGAAGTAGGAGCTTCTCTTTGTAGAATCCATCATATTCTAAAAGCGGTTGTCCCAAAACCCTCGCCTAGAGGCTGCTTGAAGAAGAAGAAAGTGATTTGGCCGGAAAAACCTCAAAAGAAAGTATATCAGTAATCACAGTGGGTGAAAACAGCATATAGGAAGGGAAGAAATATTTCCGGTGCTGAGCAAAGGAAAACAGTCGCCGGAATTTGGGGTATAATCGCCGGAAAATAGAAAAAGTCGTCGGAATTTGGTGAAACTAAGATGGGTAGACTCGGAAAAACATGTAGAGAAGGCTGTGTGAAGAAAAGATTTTGAAAAGATGCCAGAGTGAGCCACACGCGCCGGCGCGTGGCTGAATCTCGCCGGAAAAAGCAGGCTTGTTGGCCACGCGTGAGGGCGCATGGGGGCTTGGCTGCCGGAGAAACTACTGGGGTTTGGTTGCGGGAAGCTTGACTCTCGATGGGGGTGATGGAGTCCAAGCAAGAAGAAGAGAGTGAAGAACCTCGGGGAAAGTGCCTGGGAGCATTCTCATGACTCAAGGATTATGCAATAAGGGTGGCTGATTCTGAGAAATGGGGGGAGTGAAACATGAGCATCAACCAATCAAAAATTATTTCAATTTGTAAATAACAGGCAGTTTAGAACATACACTTCCTAACTTTGATCTCGATAATGCCTCAAGGGTGGCTGATTCTGCTTCCTGCACGGTACGCATTACAAGGGAAAAGAAATAAGCATCAATGTAAGAAGAAACTATTCAAGAATTAGTTTTTAGAAAGGTGCTATTCAGAAAGAAACTTAGAAACTTAAAGTAGAGCTTAACCACGCTGCAGACATTACAAAGCATCCTTTTTTATTTTGTTGAGAGGGGGAGGCGGGGTAGGTAAATAAAATTTCAAGGACAAAAAGTAGAACCTCTGACGAAAAACTATACCGGGAAAACACCATAAAAAATGTCCTTCAAAAGTATCCATATCGCCAAGTATTCAGCATAAAACAAGAATATCAAAAGGAATTGCACTGAACCATTCTGATTCCTATCATATAACAGTCAAACATGGAAGGCAATTTCCTTTCCTATGTTCAATCATTTGTGCTTAATTACAAGAATGCTTAGTCACATAGTTCACCTTAAATCCGACTACTCAGTTCTCACTTATATATCGGTTTGTTCTAATCATAATAAATCTGTGAACTTGCACTAATTTGTATCGAAGAATTTCTCATCTGTTATTCTTCCATTCCCATGATATTCCTTAAAAGTCTCATAATTTTAGATATTTTTGGGCCCAATATACAATGTCAGTTTGCTTTCTAAGGATTTGAATATACAACTGCAAGTGATCCAATCAGCATCCAAATGAATACAGCAACAATTGATTCAATCAATGTTAGATTCGTCATTCCAGATAGTTCTTCAATCCTCGTTACATTACAATTCTATGCCCTTATCATCTCCACCCCCATCTTATCCAATCAGCAGAAAACGATCAAGCTACTTTACAAAACAACATTTGAAATCTGAAAGCTTTTGTACACATCCAACACGGCACAAGAGCTTGAAGTGTCAAAAATCGTTCACATTAAAATTTAAAGAAGCCATGGGGGCAAAGACAATCCATCACAATTTTCCTGCGATCACCCAAGCTAGTGGAATCTAAGTGAAGAGTAGCGATTGGTACAGTTAAAGAGACCTAGTGAGCATCACGTTGATGAGAGAATAACCTCTTTCACTTCAGCTATGGGCTTCTCTGTATTGAGGCTGCATCTCACCATGCCTCCTAGATAAATTGATTTGTTGGGTTTTTTTTTACTTCATCAAAAAAAAAATCTTCAGAATTCCAAAAGATGCCACTTGGAAGGGTTTCCTTATCTCACTTGGGAGGCAACTATTCTCATGCAAGCTTGTCACTCTTTTTTTTCTTTTTTCTGCGGGAATAAATACAAACTTGCAATTCCACTTTAACTCTCCAGTCTCCACTTCATCTCTTACTCTAGTAAGACCCTAAGAAGGTAGCTGTAAGGTATGAAAAAAGAAGAGATGTTGAAAATGAATTGTTCAATTATTCCCTAGTATGTTGGGGTGTTTAAATTATAAGTAATCATAAAAAGGAAATGATAGTACTTCCTATACCTAATTACACAGCTATGAGGACTCTAAACATCTCCCATATTTACAAGGAATGGTCTCTCGCCATGTCAACAATTACCTAATTCTTAACAGTAGCAAATAAGACCAAACAGCTAATAAGAGATTTTCTTCAGAGGGATAGGGATGAAGTCAGGGATGGGAATTATTCCCACAGAAACACAGTTGTGCCTTCCTAAGGAGGAGGGTGAACATGCATTCAGAATTTTATGAACAACTGCATCCCATCACTACAACAGTAGTGACACCTAGCATAGCCACCATTCAAGTTAAACCATCCCATTGCTTCAGTAATCAAGAGAATGGTTTCTATTTGACCAGTATTATCAGAATGAAGAATAAACATGTAAGTAACAGGTCAAACAATATATATTTAAGAGAAGAAGTCCAACTTAATACGAGTCTTTGACAATAATCAAAAGCATATGACGAAGTAAATTTGGATAAAAAAGAGTGTTCACCTCTATTTGTTGAAGTTTTGCCTCGAAAAGTTTTTCTCGGTCTTCTTCCTAATGAGAACAAAAATGAAAACATAAATTGATTTTCTGCACTACTTAAATATGCTTTCTGAACATTAGAGATTTCAAATAATAAAGGTTGCAATATATCATTGCGATCGAATCAACAAATGTTGTGTACTTGCTACCTTAAGAGACCTTCCATCAACAACAGGATGAGCTAAAATGAAGACTCTATCAATAAGAACAATAACAGGCTCCTTGCCAAGACTTTTCCAAGGAACCTATATTCAAACAGAGAAGTGATATTAGAAAGCAAAAAAATGACATAGAACAGTCAAGGAAAAAGGGAGAGCTATACAAGCAAAAAATACGCGCACCTAATTTCTAAATGTTTTTTATACAATCTTGGTGTATATTACCGATACTAGATGAGGGATGGCCCGTGCCAACATGTTAATTACAAAAGAAAAAGGTTTGACAGTGTTTGATTTGGCCTTTTAAGAGCATCCATGTTTTATTTAATTAAAATAGTTTGTGATGGATTACAAGCAAGTTTTATGATTGCCCATGCGACGGAACTCAGTATTTTGTGGGCTTTAGTTACTTAGGTGACTTAAAAGAGCTTTATTACGCTGATCATCTACGGAAAAAGAAAGTTTGAAGATGATAACAGGATTGTGACAACTATATACCTTAGTTAATAATCTCACATGATTCAAAGAGTACCTTCCACTTTGTTCTGGGTGTGAGGCTAGTCTGATAGTGCCTTGTCTTAAACTACTAGTGGTTCATGGTGTGTTCATACTATTTTTCCTTTTTCATAGTACCTTGCCATTGTTACTGGTTATGATTATTGCTTTTTCCATCTATTTTCGGGTTCTTACGATGCTGGTATTACCTTTCTGGTCTCTGTTGTTGTTACTGATCTATTGTCTCTTTTCGTCTTCTTGAGTCGAGGATCTATCGGAAACAGCCCCTCTACCCTTGCGGGGTAGGGGTAAGGTCTGCGTACACACTACCCTCCCCAAACCCCACTTGTGAGATTTTACTGGATTGTTGTGTTGTTGTTGATTCAAAGAGTACCTTTACTCTGAATAGTTAAAGCTATTGCACTTCCCAATTAAGTATTTGAATTAGAAATTAAATTCTTGGAATAAAGAATAATTTACTTCAAATATATCAGTATATGAAGTACAAACAATGTGGAGGGAAAAACAAAGCCTAGAGAATAGAGTAAGGTAGTCTTATTACCAACCACGTTTTGTCTCTTTTATCTCAAATTTCAGAAAGATAGTATAATAGTTTATACAGAACAATTTTTGATGCAAAATTCATGCATCCATTTCCAAAGAGACCATTTCTCCACATGAATTCAAAAACTCATTTATACTTCTTTAAAGTGCGCACAAACTTTAATAAAGTAAGCACCTATTACTATTTTGGATACTAGCAATAACAGATTCGAGCAAATATAAATGATGGCTTGATTAGAGGATTATTTGAGGGCAAATATTGTAAAAACATATCAAAATAGGGAAAAAAGAAACTTTTGCAAAATTTACCCTGCACTACATGAAGCGTCAGACTCAAAGGTTGTTTTATTTTACTTGAAACCAAAGGATAAAGAAGGTAATAAAAGGGGAAAATATGGGCCAAAAGAGGCAAAGAATGTCCTTTGATAAAAAGATAAAGCGAAAGGAAGGAAACTCATTAGTAGGTAAAGAAGGTAGTAAAAGGGGAAAAACAGAGGCGGATCTAGGATTTAAGTTTTATGGGTTCAACCTTTAAGGTCTTTAGAATTGAACCTACTGTCTTTTTAAAGTTCTGGGTTCATGTTGCTATTTATTGCAATATTAGTGAATTTTTACACATAAATTTATGCTCCGCGTCAAAATTACTGCGTTCAGTTGAACCCGGCGCCGATACATTGCATCCGCCTCTTGGCCAAAAGAGACAAAAAATGTCCTTTGATAAAAAGATAAAGGGAAAGGAAGGAAACTCATTAGTAGGTAAATCTATTGAAGCTCAATGCACGGCGACGTTATGTGTAGGTGTTGGCAAGCTGCACAACCAAAAGGAGGCGCAGTTCCGCTTATATAGAATACTATTAACTTATCAGAAAGATAAAACAACAAAAAAAGCAAAAAGATATACCAACTTTTTACCTTATTTATCAATATATATATATACACACACGCGCGCGCACACACCAACTTTTTGATATATCGTGTTAAATGTTCCACATTGGTTTGGGAATGGGGTTATTATCCTCTTATGTGGTTTTGGGCATTCCTCACCACATAAGATAGCTTTTCGGGTTAAGTTAGGCTCAAGATCTAGTTTCTAAACATGGTATCAAAACCACACCCATTGGTTAGAGAATGTTCCATGTTATGTTATCCACGTTCTAACGACCATGTGTGAGCTTGCCGAGGCAGTGTTAAATGTCTCACATTGGTGGAAGGAATAGGTTGTTATTTTCCTTATATGATCTTGGGAAATCCTCACCCCATGAGCTAGAGGTTCATTTTTTTAACATATCAAAATGGTATAAAGTAATTCTTAGTTCTAATACCGCGACATATGCTAATATTTCCATGGAATTTTGTATTGACCAAAACAATTGGACACCGCTCAAAGCAGGAACAAAATAAGGACCTTAGTAAGCATAACATTACTGTGATGACAACGAATCAATATAATCACAATTAGAGTAAAATTGTGACAAGTTTATGCTTGAGTAGCTACACTATGTATAACAAGTAAAGCAACTTTGGATAGAACCTATAAGAAGCACTGCATGAGAACTATAAACCACGAAAATCATAAAGACATAAAGTAAATAATTTGTAAAAAAAAAAAAAGATGATTGACTTGCTAGAAAATGGTCAAAAGGTAACTGCAAACAAACCAAGAATCAGAATACCTTAAGAGTTATGGTTCCAACAAAACCAGCTTTGACAGTAACTGGTAATTTCAAGGAATTCAAAGCCTCTGCCTTCAGTTTCAAGTCCTTGAGAACCACATCACCTATAAAAGAATCGAAAGTTTGTAACAAGGGATAACAGCATAAATTTAGGACGCCAAACCTCTCTTTGTTTTTGACAAATGAAGGTGAAATTAGATTGTAACAGGGGATACCAGCACAACTTTAGGACGCCAACCTTTTTATGACATATGAAGGTGAATTTATTTTTTAAAAAAAGGAAGGAAACCATGCATTTCAATAGAGCGCAACAAGGATCCCAAAATTCGCAATATTATTGTAACATGGAAATTAGAAACACCTACCTTTTAGACTGAATTTTTCTCGTCAAATAAATACACTAATTACTCATCAGAGAAAAAAATCACCAGCCTTTCAGCTTGCAGCTAGTATAACGTGAATAAAGTAATTGAATCGGAGATTTAAAAACCAAATAGGAAATAGANAACCATGCAAAGAAGCATACATTTCTTGGTAACCTAGGGATCTATGCCGAATGATAAGTTTGCTTCCTCTCCACCAACAAGTACACTATAGTGGGACTTCACCGAAAAAACACATTTATTCCTTTCTCCCATCTCCAACTGTCATGGCTATTTTGTAAAGTGATCGGCTTGTAGAGCAACTCCATCAATCCCTGAAATTTTACTAACTCCGAATCTCGCAAGTTCCTCCCAAACCTCAAATCCCAATGCATTTCTCTGCCTTGTATCCGTCGTGTGCTTTGAATTGACATCTTCTTTTGGCATGAAACCCTATACATGTTAAGAAAAGTGATTCTTAAAGTGTTGTCTCCGCATCATTTACGTCCCCAAAAACTTGCTCTACTACCATCACCCTCCCTAAAAGATACATTCTCAAAAATTCTTCCTACCCTTTTAGGATATTGGTAAAGTGCTAGTATTATATAGGTAAACCCAAAAACACCAAGAAATGAGGTCATTAGCAAGGATTTCATCTATTATCACTAAGACTCAAGGCATGGATGTAGTTTCACCAGCTCTTATCTGGATAATATGGAGAGAGAGGAACAAGATAGCTTTTGAAAGGTCAAGTATAATTTTATACATATAAGGAGTAGCTTCATGTCTCTGTTTCTTTTGGGTGCACCCATGAGGTTCTTGTTTTGTTTGTTGTTTTTTTTAAGTTAACAGTTGAAAGATACCCATGAGGTTCTTGTTTTGTATAGATGATCGGGTGACTTTCATAAGAACCATAACTTGATCTAGGTTTCTCTACATTTTTGTATACTATAGGAATTTTTCCAACATTAATATAATCATTTTCCTTCTTTCAAACTCACTAATTTCATGGAAAGCCGCATGGTCTCCATCAACTCTCCTATGATAATACTCCAACACTGCTGAAAGAAAGCTAAGATGAAATAGAGTATAAAATTTCAAGCTTTTTTGAACGCACCAACCAATGTCTCATGCGTGCTTGGGTATCCATCGAATCCATTATGCCTTTGATAAGATGAATGATGAGTTCACACGTGTGACCATTTCTAAAAGCTCGTGACCTTCCCCCTTCTGTAGTCACTAATGGCATAAGTGTTGTCCAATATTAGAACCAGTTGATGAGCCGCATAACTCTCTATCGCCTTTCGCATCTCCTCCTCTCCAGGGTCCTTCCTAACCACTCCCTCGTTGCCACTCCTATATGGTTAAACTCCAACAACAACAACAACAACAACAACGACCCAGTATAATCCCACAAGTGGGGTCTGGGGAGGGTAATATGTACGCAGACCTTACCCCTACCCCGAAGGGTAGACCTTACCCCTACTCCTATATGGTTAAACTCCATTCCCTATTTTATGTCTCTACTTAACTTTTTCTTTAAACAAAAGCTCGTAAAACCCCACAATTGCCCCTCTAACTTCCTCTTCCCCCTCGACACCACATCATTTCTTCTAAGGATTCAATGTAGTTCATCCTTCTATTCGCTACACCTATCCTGTGAAAAGAAACTTTGTATTAGCATCCCCTCCCTTAACCACAACCCCCTCAATTTTTGCCTTCAACTAGTCTCTTGTGCAACCACCAACGAGAACAAGGCTAAAACTCTCTTCACGTCCTCTTTCCCAACGCTCTCTCTTCTATCACTCTCATCTCTTCCGCTTGCTCGACCTCCCCAACTCATTCATTAGTATTTTTGCCACCTTAGTATTTTTGCCTCCTGCTTTTCTGCTTTTTGAAAATAATATTGGTCATAGATAGATTTTGGTGCTTATGGACAGAAAGGAATCAAAGATGCTTTGATGGCATCTCAACTACTAAATACCTACTCAAGGCTAGATGTTTGGTCACTCTTTTGAGTTGGGTTAAACTCTCCCCTATGTATAACTCTGATCAATTTATGGAATTTATCAGCTCTCTACTCTTATGATAGATTTGTTGTTGCTCTCTTCTTAGGAGCTGATATCTTCTTTTATTTTGTAATACGTGCATCCACTGGATGCTTTTGTCAATAATACACCACTTACTTCATCAAAAAAAAATATTGGTCGTAAATATTATTGATCATAGATAAATGGCCAAATACATAAGCAGCCACTTAAAATTTGGCACCATTTGTTTCAATTAGACACCTCAAGTTTCATAATGATCAATCGAACACCTCTACTTAACAGAAGGGTGTCTCGTGCACAATTGTGTTCGTACTCCGTAAGACCTTGTGCATGAAAGACACTTGTTGCTGACAAACAAATCAACTAATGACACGTGTATTTTTTAAGAAAAAAAGGCACTTGCCATTATATTTTTAAAAATTACAATAAGAAAGAAAATGATTTACCTTATTCCCCTTTCTTCTACTCCACCCTCCCCCTC